TGAAAGATGAAAGAAATAAGACAAAAACCCTCCGCCAACCTAACAACTACATGTCTCTACTGCTACTGCATCCTTAACAGCCTCAAGTCTTGTTTCATTAATTCTTATACCACCTCTGCTTCTCGAGCATGCTCAGCATGACACCTTCTGCATCGCTCTTGCCATATGTATGCCACGTGACACCAATCGAACTACTCGGGGATCTCTGCACAGCAGTACAGACTACCTGCACAGTCTCTGCCCATGTAGATCTGCACACCAGCTCCACCTGCAAAAATCCATGTACCACCCTCCTAACATACTCACAAGTAACAAATAAATGATCTCGCGTTTCACTTCCATTACCACAGAGAACACACCCATCTTCACTTTAACTTCCCCCAACGCAGAAGCTTATTCTTAGTAGTGATTCCATCAAGTATAACTAGTCAGGCAATAAAACTAAATCGAGGCACATAGTTCTGCCCCCAAACTACTTTATACCAGGGGCACTTCACTGTATTTAGGACATAGAGTATTCCAGACCAGCTTAACCGAGTACATCTCCATAGGTACACCATTCCACAAAGCGCAATCACCCTGCCTGCTGAGGTAAGATTGAACCTGGGAACGCTTCTTCAAGATTCGTCGCCAAGCCCAGGAGCTATTTGAATTCTCCTTCATGGTCCAGATGTCTCCTGTCTTACAGCGATAATGGAGCATCCATGCAACCCATATAGCCCCTGCCTGCATCATTAGAAGCCACAGCAACCTTAGAGAACATGCAGAATTCCAGGAGTTGAGATCTCGAATACCTAGTCCTCCTTCTTTTTTAGGCCGAGCAAGTCTTTCCCAAGCAATCTTAGCCCTGCCTGATTCATTCTCATGCCAAAGAAAGTCCATACAAAGTTTTTGTACTCACTTAATAATCTTCTTAGGTAGGATAAACACCTGCAACCAATACTGTACCAGGCCTGCAATCACTGAGTTGATTAACTGCAGCTGACCAGCAAAGGTGAGCTTTTTAGCCCTCCATGAACGAATCCTTTTAGTGATTGTTGCTGCCAATGCATCCCTGATATGAGTGGCAATCCTAGATACCTCACAGGTAAACTCCCTTCAGCAAATCCTGATAATTCCAGAGCATTTCTTTTATACTTGACAGATTCTCCTCTAAAGAAAACCGAGCATTTCGCAGGGTTACATTTTAAATCTGACTGCCAGTAGAACTGATCAAGTGTCTGCTTTACCGCCATTATTGCCCTTGCTGATCCCACTGTGAAAATCAGCAAATCATCCGCGGAACAGAGATGATTCAAGGAGATTTTGCTACAAAGTGGGTGGTATGGAATTAACCCTTGCTCTGAGGCTCTACTCAACATACCTGTAAGGCCCTCCATAGCAAGTGCAAACAAATAAGGCGAGAGGGGATCCCCCTGCCTCACCCCCTTCTTTGCCTTAAAAAAAACCTTTCATTCCTCCATTAACACAAATGCTAAAACAAGCAGTGGAGACACATGTGAATATCCAATCCAGATAGCAAGAAGGAAACTCCATCAATCTCATTATTGTAAACAGGTAGTCCCAACTGACAGAATCAAAGGCCTTCATTATATCAATCTTAATTGCACATCTAGATGAGAGCTGCTCTCTATGATATCCACTAACTAGATCCTGAGCCAACATTATATTATCCACTATCTGCCTACCCTTGATAAATGCAGTCTGGTTTAAGCTTATTATACTAGGAAGAACCTCACTAAGCCTCTTATCCAAAAAATTTGCAATTATCTTGTAAAGCACATTAATGCAAGAAATAGGTCGAAACTCTTTAAAGGTCTCAGCATTCAGTACCTTCGGGATCAAAGCAACAGCAGTGACATTCACTCCACTGAGAAGACGACTTGTCTCAAAGAAAGCCATGACTCCTTTTGTTATATCCTCCCCCACAATGTGCCACGTTCTCTTGAAGAAACCCGAGGAGAATCCATCAGGGCCAGGGGCCTTATGGATATTCATATGGAAGACTATTTCCCTTATCTCTTCTAATGTTACTTTCTGACAAAGCAATTCCTTAATCTCTTGGAAGAGTTTTTTTTGTGAATTATCCCATCTAAGTATTGCTAATCCGGTTTGACTTCCAAGTTAACTACCCCAAACAGGTTCTGATAAAATTCAACAGCCGCATCAGCCACCTGTTCCACATCGTCTACCAATTCCCCTGCTTCAGTTTTGATCCTCCTAATTGCCCGCTTTGCTGTTCGTATTTTCACATATTGTGAAAATATATGGTGCTCTTATCTCCTCTGTTAAGCCCTTCTTCCCTGGATTTCTGCTAAACCTTCCTCGACCTTTTTTGTAGCCTCTAATTGAGAGTCTAACTCTTTTTTCGCCTCCAAATTCTCAGCATTAGGATCAGAGAAGCATTCAACTGCTATTAGAAGCAGCTGCTTCTCTAGCTCCTTTACTTAGGAGCTTATATTAGCAAAATGCTCTTTATTCAACTTAACCAGAGCCTTCTTAACCTCCTTGAGCTTTGTCTGCACAATAACCCAGGGATGTCCATGACAACTAGTTGACCACGCCTTCTCCACAATTTGTAAGAACTCAGGATGATCTCCTCAAAAATCAAAATATTTAAACGGTTTTGGAAGGGTCTTCTCAGAGACTTTGATTTTTACTAGCATACCACAGTGATCCGAAAAGGTGCCAGGGACTGCTTCAATGGCACAATGTGGAAACATAGATAACCATGGAATATTCGCCAAGGCTCTATCTAGTCTCTTAGCTATGGGGGTAAGCTGCTGATTATTAACCCATGTAAACAAAGGACCCAGGGTATTCACATTTTCCAACTCCATATTATTTCTCCAATCCTCAAAATCTGACATACTCGAAGATAATTGTACCTGATTTGAGGCTTCACTTGGCTTCATGATTGCATTAAAATCACCTCCAACTATCCAAGGAACTCCAACCACTTTAACTTGACCAATTGTAGAATATGTTTCCCTGCGTTCTACTGCATCATTGGCTCCATACACTGCTGTTAAAAAGAAAGAATCACCCCCTGCTCCTGGACCATAGCATGAATAAAGTTCTTACTCGGTTTCAAGATAGTAATTGTAAACTCCGGTTTCCAAAACAACCAGATACGACCTAAATCTGAATCACAGTAGTTCAGATACCTCTCCCAACCAACTAGAAAACCATCAGAAATTTCCTCAGACTTAGCTTGCCGCACATGTGTTTCCAAAATAGCAACTATACTAATATTTAGACGTCTCAGGACTTGTGTAAAGTCCTGTCTCTTTGAGGATTTGTTAAATCCTCAAACATTCCAGAATAAGCAATTCATGGTGAAGACTGGGGCTGAAGCCCCGCCTTCTTGGTTCCTCTCTTTGGAGCATCCTGTAACCTAATTACTGCCTCCTCACCTTGGTCAGCAAGAACACTAAACGAAGAGGGTAAAATATGCAACACACTAGTAGGACTATGAGCGGGAGACCAGATACGAGGCTTAGCTCCATGAACTGAAACTCGGCTTCCGTGGGCAACTTTGGAGATGAGATTGTTGATGGCAAGGGGGATGAGACCTCCGAGAAGGAAACATCAAGGTTAATCCCACCAATGGTGATTCTAGAAGAGGACCCAGCCAATGAGGGGGAACGCACTACCAGTTCCTTGCTCTGACTCAAGCCTTCCTTCTCTACATGTGGGATAGAAGAAATTTTATATTATTTTCTTTTCTCTTTTACTTAATTTTCTATAATTTAATCATAATATTTAATTATATTTGCAATTGCAAGTTAATTGCATTGATGTAGGTGAATGAAATGAATGTGATGTAGATTGCAAAAAATTTGGGTTGACAATAAAAAACACAAATGCAATTTCTTTTGCAATTGCATTGATGAAGATGCTCTTAGAACATCCACATTGGTATTGCATTTTCAGGGCTCGTTTGGAGAACAACATTTTGATCATGGATTTATTGAATCAATAGATTTAGTAAAATGTTATGTTTTTTTTTTGTTACTTTTTTATTGTGGATTGTAGCTTCAGAGATTTTAAATCTCTAAAATCTAGAGAGATTCTACATTTTGATTTTGGAGATTTTCTTTCTCCTACTATATTTCTTTTTTTTTTCATTTATCCCACTAAATACCCTCACCAATAGATTCTCAATAGTTTTCGAGTCAATCTAATTATTTTAGTTAAGGATAAACATATCATTTAATAAAAAATTAAATTTCTTTTTTCATTGGATGTTAGCAATCGTAGTTACAAAACAAGGAACATTTTCAAAAAAATTTTCAACAATCTAGAGAGTTAAAATCTTTGGATTGTCTAGAATCTATAGATTTAGACTCCAATTCTCCAAACGGGCCCTCAATTGCAAAATAACATGGCATAGGTGTTTGCAATTGCAAAATTAATTGCATTGATATGGCTACCAATTGCATATTTGCAAGCTTGCAACAAATAAAATTCCATATGCAAGTAAAAAAAAACTAAAAAATGGGGATTTTTTATTTTATATTATTTTCTTTTCTCTTTTAATTAATTTTTATAATATAAACATAATATTTAATTACATTTGCAATTGCAAGTTAATTCCATTGATGTAGCTGAATGAAATGAATGTGATGTGGATTGTAAAAAATTTGAGTTGACACTAAAAAACACAAATGCAATTTCTTTTGCAATTGCATTGATGGAGATGCTCTTAATTTCCTATAATTTAAACATAATATTTAATTACATTTGCAATTGCATTGATGTAGGTGAATGAATGAATGTGATGTGGAAAGCAAAAAGTTTGAGTTGAAAATAAAAACATTAAATACAATTTCTTTTACAATTGCATTGATGGAGATGCTCACGCAATTTCCCTTTTACAATCGCAAAGACACGTAGAGCTATCAACGTCGCAAGTTAACGGAGGCAACCAAAAATCCCTGGACGGCGTCAGTCCTCGGTCTTATAAAAGCCTCCTCATGCATTTGATCTCTGTCGACCTGACAACCTGACCCGCCGGTACCACTCGTAACTCGTTACGAACCTACCAGCTTCGGTGCCCACCGAACTAAATCAACGGTCCAGATCAACCTTACGATTTCAACGGCTGAGATCCGAACACCAAGGGCCTTTTGTTTCGCCAAGTATATAGGGGGAGAGAGAGAGAGATTCAGGGGAAAGGAAAGGAAAAGAAAAGAAAAGAAAAGAAAAAGGTTTTCCATTCACTTCCTCGCCCTTTCTTTCTCAGTTTTACCTTTGCTTGGGGAGAGTTCTTAGGGTTTTGGAAGGGGTTTTTGGAAGGAATTCGATTGCCATGGCTGAGCATCACGAGAAGAAGGAGGAGTCGCTGCTTGATAAGATAGCGGACAAGATCCACGGTGGCGATGGCTCTTCCTCGTCGTCGTCCGACTCCGATCACGACGACCACCCCAAGAAGTCGTCCTCACCGGCTTCTCCCTCGTCGATGAAGTCCAAAATTAAACGTCTCTTTGGCCGCGAGCAGCCGGTGCACAAGGTTCTCGGTGGTGGCAAACGTAGGTTCCCCCTCCATTTGTCATACGGTTCTTCGATTACTATTCCTCCATTTCCAGTTCTCAGTGCTTCTGCTTCGTCTTTTGTGCTTGGTTAATCATGATTATTCTAGAATCAAGCTTCGCTTTCGTTTTTAAGCTTCTGATAGCTGTGGACGAGCAGATCTGGTGCCTTTCTCTGTACTGTTAGATACTTAGATCTGTGTCATTTGCTTTTTTAAGGGTGATTAATTTTGTTTACTTGCTTTTACCTTTTGGATTCATGATGCGATTATTGAAAAGCGGGCTTTAGTTTGCTGTATTTGCCGTAATAATCTTTCCTATAAGCCACTGTTCCCATCATCCTCGTATGCTTTAGAGTTCCCCAAACGGCTTGAGTTTGGCAATTCCATCTGGAATTGGTATTTGCTGTGAGACTGATCAGACTCTACTTTTTCAATAGCTGCGGATGTTTTCCTGTGGAGGAACAAGAAGATCTCTGGAGGAGTGCTTGGCGGAGCAACTGCTGCGTGGGTGCTCTTTGAATTGCTCGAGTACCACCTTCTCACTCTGGTCTGCCATGCCCTGATCCTTGCACTCGCTGTTTTGTTTCTGTGGTCCAATGCCTCCACCTTCATCAACAAGTAAGCTTATAGGGCCATATGCTTGTAACCCATATCTTGGGTTCTGGGAATTTTTCTTGACATGCTTAGCTGACTTGAGTTTTTCTATTTTTGTCAGAACCCCTCCACGAATTCCACAGGTCCATCTCCCTGAAGACCCAGTTCTGCAATTCGCTGCTGCACTTAGGAATGAGATCAATCGTGGCTTGGCTACCCTTCGCGAGGTTGCATCCGGGAGGGATCTGAAGAAGTTCCTTGCTGTAAGTGATTATGTTTGCTCTGCTTCACTTCGTTCAGGTTCTAGCTTGCTTGGAGTTTTTGTATGGCACTCTACTAAACCGCTCTGCTTATGTTGCAGATAATTGCTGGTTTGTGGGTCTTGTCTATCGTGGGAAGCTGGTGCAACTTCTTGACTCTGTTCTACATTGGTAATGCAATCTCCACGTAACTAACGTTTGGATCCTTGCAAGTGCTTTAGTAATCACCGTTCTGAATGTCTTGATTTGTTCCCCCCTTGCATACAGTTTTTGTGCTGCTCCACACAGTGCCAGTTTTCTATGAGAAGTATGAAGACAAGGTGGATGCCTTGGGCGAGAAGGCTTGGATTGAGATCAAGAAACAGTGGGCAGTGTTTGATGCCAAGGTGCTAAGTAAGATTCCTAAAGGCCCATTGAAGGACAAGAAGAAGGCTTAAATGAACAGGTTGGGGCGCTTCTACATTTGTGGTGCTTATTCCGTGAGAGTAGTGACACAAGATTTGTTGGCCTGCATTTTGTGAAGGGAGTTATTTGTGGTAAAACTTTGGCCAGTACTAGTGCATAGATCATCATCCCCATCTCCCCCCCTGTGTTGTTACTTTTGCCCAGTAGGTTGGTTTGGTTGGGTTTTAGAATGTGGATGAGAAAACGTGGGGAAGTAATATACTTCTGTGGACGTCTATGTTCATATAAGCAGCTTGTATGGAAATTCTAATCTTTGTTTGATATGGAAATTCTCTGCTTGTACATCGAGGTTCTACTCTCCAGTGGTGTGTTAAGATCATGGTTCTATAGTATAACTGTATTAACTGATTGTTTTTAACACAACAATAATTTCAATAGCAAGGAAAACAACAGCAAGCAAAAATCAGTCTGACATGGCGAGCTCAACTCATGTCATTCCCCTACAGACGGGGGAGCTGGCTGCAGACATTTATCTGATTGGCTTTGCTATCTTCATCAGTACTATCATCATCTATGCACATACATACATACATACATAATGGTGTTTTACAAAATCAAAGTAACCCACAATTTTGGCTTTGCACAGAACTAAACCCCCTAGTTCCTTTAGGTTAGTGGATTAAAGCATTAATTTTACAAGAAGTAGGATAGCTGTTCCTTTTTCCTTGAACCACCTTCACCATACAAGTCATTCCACTGCTTCAACTCCGACATTATCGATCCTTCTGTTGCAAAGCTAGCTGCCACCTGCATTTTGCACTCCAACGCCATGGATCAGCAGGAAAAAAAAAAAAAAACTATGGATATAGTTACTCAGTATCATTCTCAGCCAGGCGCAAAAGGGGAGGGACATTAACCTACCTGGTTTTTAGCCAGCCTGAAGTCTTCCATGTTCAACGGCCGAAGAGTAATCACTCTCTCCTGCTTTTCTCCTTTCGCCGCCGCCTCTGTACCTTCTGCAGCTTTCTTCTTCTCCTGCAACACAAAATAGCATGCAGCATTGATGCCGCGGCCAAGTGGGTTTCTAGTGAAAGAAAGATGGAGAAAGAAATGATGGGATGTGAAACTTACCATATCCCTTTTCCTCTCTTGCTGTATCAACTCCCTAACTGGGCGATAAGCAGCAGTGGTACACAAATTCTGCAGTACAAAAGAGAAAGGTGCATCATAAACAGCTGAATTCATTATGAATTTTTATGGTGTGTTTGTAGTCCCTAAGAAGCTGTATTAGCAGTGACAGGTATATAATAATACACACCTTCAGATCACTCCCAGAGTAGCCTTCTGTAAGCGTCGCCAGCTCCTTGAAATCCATTTGTTCATCAACCTTCTCCTTCGACAACAAGGTTTTCATGATCCTTACGCGGTTCTCCACGGAAGGAAGTCCAACCATGATCCTACGCTCGAAACGCCTGATGATAGCTTCATCGAGATCGAAAGGACGATTCGTCGCAGCAAGAACAAGAATCCTCTCTCCTTGCTTCGTTGCCAAGCCATCCCAGTGAGTCATGAACTCGTTCTTGATCTTCCTCATGGCTTCATGCTCCCCAACCTTGGTTCTCTGCCCGAGCATGCTGTCAACCTCGTCCACGAAAATGATTGTCGGAGAGACCTTCGACGCGAGCGAGAACAACGCACGGACGTTCTTCTCATCCTCGCCAAACCATTTGGATGTAATTGTAGACATTGACACGTTAATGAAACTAGCTCCAGCTTCTCGAGCAATGGCCTTGGCAAGCATTGTTTTGCCTGTGCCGGGCGGTCCAAAGAGCAGGATTCCCCTGCATGGCTTCAGCAGTCCACCGTCGAATAAGTCTGGTCGTCTTAAGGGAAGCATCACCAGCTCCTGTAATGACTCTTTGGTCTCTTCTAGAGCACCGATGTCGGCAAAGGTTACGTTGATCTCATTTGCTGGTATCACCTCTGGTCTAATGCGCTTCTCGAATTCGTTGTCAGGTGCGACCTCTGGAGCCTTTGGTGGTGGCGGAGCATCCGCATCTGGTTTAGCTCCTCCTCCTGATGTTCCCGTATCGGCCTTCTTTTCTGGTACCACTGCATCAGTTTTTACTTCTGGCTTTCCTACATTCTGTAGTCATTTTCACAATTAACTTAAGAGGATTAAGAATTCATTGATCTGGTTCCAAGTATTAGGATGGACAATGATTCGGTGTACACAGAAGAATCAAGTGATTCGATTCGGTTTATTTACATGATCTATAAGAAACAAGACAAACAAAATAGTGATTGAATTTAAATCGGCACCAAAACTAATGAAATGAATTGCATTTTCGGTCCGACTCTTATTCTCAAAGGCATATCACTGACCTTGGGGAGTTCAGCCTGAGTTGCTAACTTGATACTGCCAACAGATTTGCCTTCTTGGAATATGTTCAATCCATGGGCCAAACTGTTGCTCAAAAACAATCCCACTAGAGTTAAGGTCTTAAACAAATATTAAGTTGTCCATTCGAAAAATATTCATAATATACCATCATTACCTCTTAGATGAAATGACGAGCTTCCCATTACGGTAATAAGGATCCTTGCTGTTCATCAGATGATAAGAAATAGCGGACACAACAATTTCCTTAATGTAGTTACCAAGAACCATCGTGTCAGCCGTGCAGATAGTATCCAGATCATCACAATCGAGATCGTTGGATGAGAGAACTTCCATGATGTGGTTCCTATTGTCCTGAACTCGGATCATCTTCATGTCCTCCTCCAGCTGGGACTTCCAGTTGATGTGTTGGTTCTCGTCTTGCGGCGGCTTGATCTCGATGTTGTAAGGGAACAGCAATGTGAGCCTCTCGTCGACCTCCATGTAGTCGTTGTTGTCGAGATCCACGCTTTGAGAACCGAGGATCAGCACTGATCCAGAGAGTTGCTTCAGCATTTTGTGGAACAGGTTGTATATTCTCTGCGAACGTGACAGGAACTTGTCCACATCCCTAAGGTAGAGGACCATAGGACTTGTCTTGGAGACGTATACCAGGACTTTGTAAAGAGACTGTATAAAAAGCTTCCCGTCGAAAGATAAGCTGCTTTGTCGCCTCAAAGGAGCTGCCTCAGGAAGAGAGCACAAAACCCAAAATTGTAAACATGTTAGGTAAAAGGCTTGTAACCATATCAACAAAGTAATGGGGGATCAGAACATGAAAAGTGAAAAACCTGTATTTGCAGAAGCAGATTGTGCGGCTAGCATGTTCATATTAGAAGTAGAGGAATTTCTTCGTAGCTTGGGGAGATTAGAGGAACCTTCCATCCCACTGTATCAACAAGGCAAGATTTTTACCAGAACTATAACATAAGCATTAGCAGAGATGGAAAGAGAGGATTTCAATTTCATATTTCCGGTTGATCAGTAGAGTAATCTCGTTTTCTTGTTACCTACCCTGCTGAAGAAAGGTCCACTCCACTGTGCTGCCTACGTAGAGTCCCACCACCTGCAACAACATGATCACCACCTTGATCAGGGCTAAGAAACTGCACCAGCACGACTACGACAGAGTCATGACATCCGGAGTCATAATTCTCCAGAAAACAAGAAGAGAATGAGAAGGCAAAGAAAGATACCCATAGGTCCTCTATCCTGGGGCAGTATGGACAAGGATCCCAGGAAACCAGACAGCCGCTCCATCGAAGCTGACCTTTTCATAAAAGACTAGAACGCAAGAAGAAGTTTGAAAGGTCATCACGAACATACAATCAACTTGTGTTTTTCAAAACTATCAGTTTTCTCATACAAAAGATCGATCTAGAGAACTTACAGAAGTTTCCTTGCTCGTGCCGTACTTGCTCTGAATCTGATGCAAGGAAAGTTCATCATAACAAATCAACACCACCCACCAATCAAAACACAGAGAAGGGGGGAAATGCAGAGAAAAGCTCTCACCTTGAGGGAGAAGTCAGTTATATCTAACAGCAGCAGTTTGGCATCAAAATAATGAGCTAAAGCTTTGGCAAGCATTTGCTGGTAGAGTTCTTCACAATCACAGATTCCAGTTCAAGCATCAATGTACAAATCCAAACACGGAAAACTAAAAAATGATTTGATTTTTTTTATGGGTTGGTGGTAACCTGCAGGGCCAGAGAGCAGTATAGTTCGACTAGCGGGTGAAAGGTTCCTCGTGTACTTTGAAACATCGGCATGTTTCAAATGGACATAGGCAGCACTTGTCAGCAATGTTCGGGTTTGGTCACTGCCATAGCAATCAAAAACCACATAGATATCAGAGATCCCAAATTTAGATTCCAACAATGGTTGACATAGTGAACCCAACAGGTTGGTTCATCCTCTATAAATTCATTTGCAAATTCTTATTATGTTTCTATAAACTCAAATGAAAATTTGGGTCACAATTCTTTTAACCAAAACTTGTTTAGCGCTTCGCTTCATTTCATTTCATTTCGGGTAATGATCCTACTTTGTTGTAGTGGATGATGTATGACGTTCAGAGGATTTCGGAATCAACGTACTGGATTATGTTTGATGTCAAGGGATTTACGAACTCCGAATGGTTGTGAATGAAGATTAGGATACTTTGCATCTATTTATGAAGAAAAAAACAACCTAATAAATCAAACTGTTTTCTATTTATGTTTAGAAGTTGTTGGTTCAAAGATAAGGATGATATCAAACAAAGAATCATATCGATGTTACCATTCTCACCTTACTATTTAGATCAAGTGAATAGTAATGAGATCACAACAAATTCTTTCGAAGATACAGAGCAACTATTTTTTTTTTCCCTCTTTAGTTGCAAAAAAAAAACCCCAGATCAAATTATTTAATCTTGACTATGTAATTGTGAGTTAAGGAAAACGGGAAACCAATCAACGACAATGAAAATTGAGAGAAGAAGAAAGAAAAGATGGAGGGAAGAGAGACCGACCTGAGGTAGTAAGGGAACTCGGCAAACGTGACGCCGCTTTCTCTCCCGTGAAGCACTTGTCTCAATAGCTCATGCTCCAACTTATCCCCCGTCACGGCGTTGGTCGCCGAAGCGTTCCCGCCGGCCCATTTGCTCACCGACGGCGACGCCAACCCCAGCCCTACACCAACGCCGACGCCGACGCTCAACGCCGACAAAAGAAACTGCTTCTGTTCCATACCAATCGAATCGTCCCTTGACTACCGTCTCGTTCGGTGGATGTTAATCAATTTCGACGCTCCTCCGTCGAAGGCGGCGGCGGCAGAAGCGGAGGATAGTTCAGAATAGGCAGGCAAGAGGAATTTCGATGAATGGGGAAAACGAAATAGGGATTTTTTTCATTCCATTAACTTGTTTTCTTGGGAGGAAAACGAATGATTCTCGAATGCGTGAAGAGGGGGGAAAACTGGAGAGGGAGACGCACTACTTTCCCGAGAAAATAAGAAGAAAGGGAAAGAGAAAGTAATGGGTGTGACGAGATTGACCGATTTACGCGACTGGCCGCAGAAAAACCGTCTCTGGTTTCAAAATAGAGAAACTGATTTTTAGTGATGGTATCGGCTGACAGATGGTGGGATTTGAAATCAGCGGAGGAGGCGGATCTCTAAGGGGGAAACCGTGGTAAGGGAACTTCCTCTGTTTTTTTTGGTTAATTTTCCAACGGCCGACGGCGGAGGGGAGCGGCGGCGGTGGTTGTTCCCGCTTTTGGAGGAATGTGCGCTGTGCGCGCAGGCGGGAGCAGTGAGAGAGAGTGATGAGTGACCAACGAGGGGCTTCGTTACGTGTCGTTTTCCCCGCGGGTTTTAAATTTTTTAATCCTTTGGCGCGGGCTCTGTTTATATAGAACTAGTATCAATACCCACGGCTACGCCGCGGGTGATTTAACACTATTTTAATTAATAGCTGCAATATAATCAATAGATAGAAATAGTTAGAAATTATATACGCAAATTATCATGCCAGTCCAGACAACTTACAATACAATGATTATAGAAAAGCATGTAGACATTTTGGTCAACTTCAAATTATAATCATTTAATAAGATAAAACTTCAAAACTATTTATCAACTAAAGAGTAGTCTGTTAGTTATCCGTGACAATCACATGCTATAATATTCCAAAGTAGCAGGCCTTCCAAAATATATTCTGTAATGACCAAAAATAACTTTTGAAGCAGGGCTGCCAAAACTTCTTATCACAATCTTGAGAGTACAAAGTAAAGAGACACATTCAACCAACAATATTCAGACCCTTCTCAATGAATGATGCATCAGTTGGTTGCTTTCCACTTAATACTTCAAGCAACATGAGTTCATGTCTCCATGATCCCAAAGCCTAACAAAGTCCACCATTTATGAAGAAGCAAGAATGAATGCAACAGGTCTAAGTCAAAACTTCGCATGTACTCTACCAATTTATACACATGAGAAACTGGGCGTTGAACAATTGTTTCTCTAAGAGAATGGTTATGTTGTTTGGTTAAACCCAAAATTCAGAAACCAACTTGAGGGCACACTAAACATTCACTCCCAACTCTATGGAAGAGTCCATAGTTCATCACAAAGTATTGATTTTTTCACTGTATCATAGAGAAGAAAGGAGGAAGCTTAGATGAAAAATAGACCCAACATTTAGAAAACTTCAAGATACTCTAAAGCATTGACCTCAGGGAATATAAGAGACCAAAACCTGCAAGCTGAAGCTACCCCACACGATCACCAAAAAAATAACTTGAGCTTCTAAAATAGGCATGCAAACTTATTATACCAGTCTCCTTGGTACAGGAATTTCCACTACTTGCAAAAAGACGGGTATTTGCTGTAACACTTAGCTATGGCCAATAGTCAAAAGCAATGACATCTGTACAGGAAGCAGGTATTTCCAGTTGAACAACATCATTTTACCAATTGTTGTGAATTAATGCCTGCGGCTACGTTGTGTGAATTGTTCAGCAATGTGGCATTAATAGGAGGGAGAGATCAATGATCATACTCTTTGTTGGCCCCTCAGAGTCCTATCACCAAAGATAATGCTTGGTATACAATCCATTTTAATTTACTGTTACATAAGGTAAACACTGGTGATTGCTTAACAAACTAAGAGAAAACAGAGACAACGAACTTTGCAAGACGAAAGAGAACTTTTTAGAAAATATTTCATGTTCAATGGACTATTGTGAAATACAAAATGACAGCAGCACCCCAACGACAGAATCAATAGCAATTCCAAGTGTGTCAACCCCAACCTAAACCACCATTTCAGCCACCAGTCACGGCGATTGCCCCACTGCTCCTTAGTTACTTTGCTACCCCTAGCAAAAGGGAAAGGAAAATAATCATCCCCTATCTAAACCCAGTATTTAAACATCAAATTAGGAAAACGATAAGTTGTGCTGCACCTATACATACCGCCTCTTTCAATTTTTGCAGCGTGACGATTTGATTCATGAAAGCAAAGGAGGGAACGGTCCAACATGGAGTCAATGTACTGCCAACTTTTTTTTAACCAACAACGACCATTAGTTTAAAAATCCCAAAATTGAACATGAAATTGAGATCACCACACAACCTGTGAGTAGGAGAAGGAGGTTGAGGTGGAGCTACATAGACAACCCTCAGTTTGGTTTCCTCATCCTAGTATCCTGCCTCCTTGTTGAACTACAGAATCCCAAGTATCCATGATCAATAGCTAGAACAATAATTTTACACAGGTAGCAGAACATAAACACAGTAGCAGCAAAGTCATAGGCCAATAAGTTACAGCCTCACCGCCAGTTCTAAGCAGCATCTGACATAGAAATCTACATGGTACCAGCTCTAAGCTCCCCTCTGCACTTCCTTGAAAATGTAGAAATGGATCCTACGATTAACCTTCTTTACATGGAAATTGAACATACTGTTGGAAAAAAGGTACATACAAATCACATTGTACCTGAATAAGTGATAGCAACAATCTGTATATCTCTATTGCTTATTTGTGTTATTCCCCAGCAACTTGAAGAACAACCTTCAACCTAAGAAGTACTAACTGATCCATCCTTGCATCTTCATCCAAACTGCTCAATTTCTGTTTCAGCATCCTTGCATCGTTGCTCATCATGGTCACAATGTTCCTCCCAACATGGTCTGCAGGCTGGTTAATCAGATTTAGAGTTAAATCTATCTGGTGACTTGACCTAAACCATGACTTCCATATTTAGGGAAATCCACCAGAAAAAAATCCAGAAAATTTGTGCAGCCAATAGAGGCAGAAAAAGAAATGCAACCTGGCTCTTGTTGATATCAACAACAACAGTATTGGTTAACTTCGAATGTTCTTCAATTGTTTGGTTCTCCACCAATCTTTACACAACATCACTCATTAATGACACCGATATAAAAGGATGAAATCACACAGTAACAGTAGAAGTTATCTTAAAGGGCAATTGATGTGCAAGATGAGACAGAAAGCTGAACATTGACTATGTAAGGAACAGGACCAAGCAGCATCCTAACATGTAAGGAAAAGCATACTGCAGTAATTCTAAAGTTCAGGCACCTTGAACAAATAAAAGAATCTAAAGCATAGAATACAAATCTAAGCAAAGTTTCCGAATTTGTTCGAAATATAGTAAATATCTATATCTAACATACTGTTTTGTTTTACTATTTGCAGCTGCCACCTCTCTTAACAGGATCGAACAATGAAATAGAAGGCTGGTATAATTCAAAGAGAAGGAAACGACAATGATTGAAGAAAGCTAGCAGCATAAAGGAGAAGGTCCGGTCGACATAACCATTATACCTAATACAAACCTTAATGTTCAACTTAAGAAAATATTTTGGTTCACCTTTGATTGTTCGATTTTGTTAAGAGAGGTTGCCGCTGCGATGTTAAAACCAAGCAGTAGCGTTGAGAATTGTAATCGATGAAGAAAAAGAAAATTAAAACCAAACATCACCCAAACACCCAATAATAATACAGAGAGAGAGGGGAAGAACGAAGAGGCTCGCCTGCAACCTAAGAAAAAGGCTCACCTGTTCCATTATTGCTGATGGCCAAAGATGAGGGTGGAAGAAAGCCTCGCCTGAAAAACTGGGTATGCAAATGGGGAACAGAGGAACAATGGAATTGAAGAGGTCGTGTAAATGAATTTGAGAGGGGTTAAACAGAAGAGCTGGCTCTTCCCTTAATCGAGGGGAGTAAGGAGAAATTGTACAGTTCATGGGTTTAGCGTGTGGGAACGAAGGTGAGGAGGTGAAAAGAATGGTGAAAGTACAGAACGGCTGAGACGGCAGCCCATGATTGTGGATTAGGGGTGAGGTCGGCAAGGCATAGCAGTACGGAAGCATGACAGGCTGATGCGAGACAGGGAGGGCGTCGACGCTTCGGGGATGGTAAAAATTCCGTGTGGAGCTGGCTGTGAGGTCGAAAGCCTGGAGCCAGAGATGATATCTCTTCTCCAAAGCACAGTGGAGTCGTTGCTGCAGCCGTACATGGCTGCTGGCGTGGGTGAGCAGTGGTTAACAGGAGGCATGGGCGATGGCGTGCGGCAGCATTGCGAAGAGGAGGCAAGGTGGGACTTGGGAGCTTTCCACGGGGAGCTGGACCAAACCATAGGGTTTTTGGCACTAAACACCAAGGATTGTGTTGGGCCGCATAGTTGAGCGGACTTGGACCTCAGGCCCAAAAGGGGAGAATCGACGTTTTAAGGCCCAATAAGGAGGGCGGGCCCGATCCTAGGTCGAGTCAGCAGGCGGTTCGTGACCGGCTGCGAACCTGAGGAATAGATAAGGACGCCTGACATAAAGCAACTGAGCGGCGCAGAGGGGCAGAGAGCCGTTGAAGATGCGTATCTGGTGTCAGACATGACTTAGCATTTATTGCCGGCCGCAGGCGGCCTGCAGAAATGCTGAAAGCCTGTCAGGACGCCTGACACGACCTAAAAAGCCTGCGTGGGATGCCCGACCAGGTCTGGGGCGCCCGACACAGCATTTAATCCTCCAACCACCCTCATACCAGGTATAAATATAGGGTGAGTACATTAATGGTGAGCCAACTACTATTCATCTCTCTACATAAATTATCATCTTCTCACTTCTCTCTCTAACTTAAGCTTCGGAGAGTGTCCCGGGCGAACCGCCCCGGACCGCTGTTTTGCAGAGTCTCTGGAGTGCACCCCGACATCCGAGACCAGGCGCCTCGCCCTAGCTCCACAAACCGCCTAGTATCTACTAGGCACAAACAATTTGGCGCCCACCATGGGGCCGGAGCGAAGCGCTTAAATCGAAAGATGGAAGGGAACTTCAGAACTCCGGTGAAAGACGTCATTGGCGGAGAGAACATCAGAGGTTTGGAAATGCCGACGGTTGAGGAAGAAAAAGATATGGAAGAGCGCGTGAGAGACCAGGGGCAGCAGATCACCAATATGCAAGAGAGTCTGAGCCAGATCCTCACCATGCTCAAAACAAGGGAAGAGCCCGAAAGTTCTAGAATGCGGGGTGGCAATGGCAAGGGGGTGGACGGAGAAATGCCTCCTAGCCCTCCTCGCACGGAAGACGGAGAGTCCGACCAGGAAGAAGATGCCGATGGCGTCCACCTTGACCTCCTCGAAGAGCACCTGCGGCCCTGCTACGGGAAGCCTAAAGGTTACAACGTTCTGCACAACCCTCTGGCAAAGAGCCTTTTCAAAACACAGGTGCCATCAAACTTCTCGTCGCTCGGTCTACCTGCATACACGGGAAACTCAGATCCGTCGGATCACTTGAGCGCCTTCATGCTCAAGATGCAACTAATCAACGCCTCAGACGCTGATCTGTGCAAGGCGTTTCCAGTCACTTTTGGGGGGCAGTGCCGAAGCTGGTACGCGTCCCTACCAGCCGGGATAATCGAGAACTTTGAGCAGTTCGCCACCCTCTTCTCTCTGAAGTTTGCGTCTCAGCGCAGAAGGCAGCTCACGGTCTCCGCCCTCATCAACTGCAAGTAAGGAGAAGAAGAAACATTGGCAGACTTCTACGACCGGTGGAACACAATAGCCTGCGAGGTCCAAGATGTCTCAACCAGCGTAGCCGCCGGGAACTTGAGAATGTCGACGCATAGCCAGGAACTAAAGAGGTCTCTCATCAAGAAGGAACACAACATCAAGTCTTGGCAAGATCTGGACCGCGTGGTACGGAAAGCCATCTTCTTGGAAGAAGCGCTCAATGCCGAAGAGAGCGCGAAGGGAGGCCCAGCGCCATCGAGCAAGGTAGAAAAAGGAAGAAACGGGTCGCCAAAGCGAAGGGGGCGCACGCCCGAACGACGAAACTACAAGCCCAGGTACAACAACAGGGATGGAAGGCGTGAAGTATTCGCATCAGAAAAGAGGACGACGGACGCCGCGAGGGGAACAAAGCTCGAGAGGCGCGTCCTCGCCAAAGGAGGGAAGACGACCAAAAATGGTGCGACTGGCACCAGCTGCCGACTCATGACACCACAAAGTGCCGTGAGTTCAAGGCCAGCCTCAAATACCTGGCACTGGGAGACCTGAAAAACCGCCTGGAGACACGGGGGCACCCCAGAGAGAGAACTGATGAAAGGGATAGGTCGCCCAGCCCAAGGAGAAGGTCCCGCACGCCCAGACGTCGGAGATCCAGGTCGCCAAGGAGGGAGCGGACGCTCCGCAGGGAGGTCTTGCCTCCACCGCCGCCAAGGCACGCCCCTCCTCATCGGCACCTGCCTCGCGAAGAAGAGGAAGGATTCGAAATAATCACCATCGCTGGAGGACACAAGCGCCCTCGGACCGAAGGGGACCGCTTGGTGCAATGCATGAACGTGAACAGGAAAGAGCAAGTCGAGATCAGTTTCGGGCCCTCAGAACTGGCTCCCGAAGAATGTGGAGAAGACCCATTGGTCATCTCTTTCCGCACAAAGAAGTTCAAAGTCACCCGAGCCTTGGTCGACAACGAAAGTTTGGCAGACATCCTGTTCTACTCCACGCTCAAGAGCATGAAGAAGGGGCTACAAGACCTCAAACCATCCACGACCAGTCTGGTGGGATTCTCCGGATCCAAAGTCAGGGTTCTGGGTTCCATCACTCTCCAGGTGACGATCGTGGGTCCGGAGGTGACGAAGACGCGCCTCATGGACTTCCACGTAGCGGATTGCCCCTCCGCCTACAATGCCATATTGGGGCGCGGTTTCCTGTCAGGCTTCTCAGCGGTCCCCTCTACCTGCCATCAGATGCTTAAGTTTCCCGCCAAGGGCAGGATAGGGCGCGTCCTTGGTGACTCCCAACAGGCCAAGGAGTGCTACCAAGCAACCATCAGGAACTTGGAGGTTGATCAAGTGGACACAAGAGGAAGTCATCCACGCCCCGAAGCGGCCGAGGAAGACGTCGCGGTCGTTCTAGACGACGACGAGCCAGAGAAGAAGGTTAGGATCGTAGCTCACCTGGCGGAGGAGCAGGCGAGAGAGCTCTTGTCTCTCCTAAAAGAGTTCAAAGATCTATTCGCGTGGACGTCGGAGGACATGCCGGGCGTCCCGCGGGAGCTGGCCGAACACTCCCTGTCAATCAAAAGCAAAGCGCGGCCAGTACAACAGAGGAGGAGAAACGCCTCCCTCGAAAAGCAGATGGCGTTGGAAGAGGAGGTGAAGCGCTTGCTGAAGGCAGGGTTCATCAGGGAAGTGAAGTACCCAACGTGGCTGGCCAACCCTGTCTTCGTGCGAAAGGCGTCTGGCCTTTGGCGGATGTTTATCGATTTCACAAGCCTCAACACGGCCTGTCCCAAGGACGGGTATCCTCTCCCCAGGATTGACCAGCTGATCGACGCGACCGCAAATCATGAAACGTTAAGTTTCCTGGACATGTTCTCGGGCTACCACCAGATACGCCTGTCAGAAGAAGACCAAGAGAAGACCGCGTTCATGACACACATGGGCAACTTCTGCTACACGGTCATGCCTTTTGGCCTAAAGAACGCGGGCGCGACGTACCAAAGGATGATCGATAATGTGTTCCAGAAGGAGCTGGGCCGAAACGTGGAAGCCTACGTTGACGACGTCTTAGTCAAAAGCAAGAAAGGGGCCGATCATTTGGCCGATCTAAGGGAAACGTTCGAAACGCTTCGAAGAGAGCGCCTCCGACTGAACCCGCTGAAATGCGTGTTCGGAGCGAAAGCGGGAAAGTTTCTAGGATTCATGATCACTAACAGGGGCATAGAGCGAACCCAAAGCAGATCGAAGCAATCCTCAGCCTGAAGCCGCCCCGCACGGTGAAAGAAATACAAGCGTTCAACGGAAAGATGGCCGCCCTGAGCCGCTTCATTCCGCAGTCGGCGGACAAGTGTTCACCTTTTTTCCAAATGCTGAAGAAATCCGCGTCTCGTCTGCAATGGGGACCCAAGTGCGACAAGGCATTTTTCCAGTTGACGGAACAGCTAGCCTCACCTCCCGTCCTCAGCGCCCCCCTTCAGGTCGAGCCCCTATATCTGTACCTGGCGGTCTCTGATCAAGCGGTCAGCTCAGCCCTGGTAAGGAGGGACGCCGATGGCACAGACCATCCCGTGTACTATGTCAGCAAAGCCCTCCTTCCAGCTGAGAGGCAATATATGCCGATTGAAAGGGCGGTCCTGGCGGTCATATCAGCGGCAAGAAAGCTGCGCCCTTACTTCCAGGGGCATCCAATCACTGTCCTGTCCAACCTGCCCTTGAGAAAGATTCTCAGGAGCTTGGACGCCTCGGGAAGGATGACTAAATGGGCAGTCGAGCTCAGCGAGTACGACATCACGTACGCGCCACGCCCTTCCATAAAGGGACAGGTGCTGGCGGACTTCGTGGCAGAAGGTTTTAGCCTCGACGCGGCCGAGGCAGAAGGGGAAGTTGAAGTGTGGCGTCTGTTCGTGGATGGAGCCGCCGGAAAAGGGGGAGCAGGTCCTGGAATCGTGCTCGAGTCGCCTCGGGGAGTCATACACGAGTTCTCTCACAGATTCCAGGAGTTGAAAACCAACAATGTTGCAGAGTACGAGGCCCTCTTGAGCGGTCTCAGAATCGCCATGGGAATGGGTGCCACCCGCCTCCACATCTGCTCCGACTCCCTGTTGGTAGTCAATCAGGTCTTGGAAAACTACGAAGCCAAGGAAGAAGCGCTAGCAAAGTTAGCCGACGAAGTCAGAGGCGCCCTTGCGCAGTTGGAAGAATGGAAGCTAGAGCATGTAAAGCGAGAGGACAACCATCACGCGGACGCCTTGTCCAAGCTGGCCACGGCTATGGACTTCGAAGGCGATCGTCAAGTCACCATTACCAAGGAGGCTCCGCCTAGCGAGGGGGTGATGGCCATCGTGGAAGGAGCGGCCGAATGGCGCTCCCCTATCGTCGAGTACTTGCAAACCGACTTCCTACCAAGCGATGAAGCCCAAGCAAAGCTGATCAAGCGGAAAGCCGCCCATTACAGCATGGTGGGAGGACAGTTGCACAAGAGGTCCTTCTCAGGCGCCTACCTGAAGTGCTTGAGCCCTGCAGAGGCGGAATGGATTATCAAGGAGATACACCAAGGCACATGCGCCTCGCATGCTGGCCTGAGAGGCCTCGAGAAGACCATCCTGTTACAAGGCTACTACTGGCCAACGGTGAAAAAAGATGCTGAGAAGGCGGTCCGCGCGTGCCACGAATGCCAAATTCACGCCAGCAAGCAACATCTGCCCAACGCGGAACTGAAGAGCATAACAAGCCCGTGGCCGTTCGCACAATGGGGGTTGGACCTGCTGGGTCCCTTTCCAACCGCCCCCTTGGGCAAGAAATATCTGGTGGTGGCGGTTGACTACTTCACAAAATGGATAGAGGCCGAGCCGCTGGACACGATCACCAGTGCCAAGATCCCGAAATTTCTCTTCAACAACATAATGATCAGGTTTGGTACTCCCCATACAATCATCACTGACCATGGGACACAGTTCGATTGCAGGCCGTTCGAAAATTTCTGCGCCAGGAACCGCATCACATGCAGAATGGCCTCAGTTGCGTTCCCGCAAGCCGACGGGCAGGTGGAGTCGTCCAATAAACTCATCCTTAGGGGTCTGAAAAGGAGGCTCAAGGAAGCCAAAGGAGGGTGGACTGCCGAGCTGCCACACGTGCTCTGGGCGCACCGTACAAACTACAAGAGAGCAACCGGAGAAACCCCATTCGCTCTGACGTATGGCTCCGAGGCGGTTGCTCCCACCGAGGTCATTCTGCCCTCGCTAAGGGTCCAGACATACGATCCCGAGGAAAACCACAAAAAGCTTCTCCACCAGCTGGACATGATAGAGGCAAGAAGAGACGCGGCCATGGTACGAACCATACAAGAAAAGCTCAAGGTGGCCAAAATCTACAACGAGAAGGTAAAACCTCGGCCGCTTGAAGAAGGAGATATGGTGCTCAAAAGGAATTTTGAGTAGAAAGAGGGGCACGGCAAGCTGGCCGCCATATGGGAAGGACCATTCCTGGTAGCAGAGAAGATAGGGACCGCCACGTACGTGCTAGCTACTATGGAGGGGCAGCCTGTGGCCAAGACTTGGAATGCTATCCACCTAAGGAAGTACCATAGTGAGTAGGAACGAGTTATCTGTAGGAATTTTGTAAGAAGTCAGTGCCGCGGTCAAACGCGCTTTTATGATAGTGGTAGTCCACACTCCTATCAATGACTTCAGTAATTCAAGTCGCCACTGAGCGATAGGTTTTCATGTAGATTAACCTAAGTTATTCTCATAACTCTCGGCCACTTAGCACAACCGCTAACTACGACGCCATATTGGAGCTGAAACGCCCCAGAGCAATAGCTACACACTTAACAAACTCGTACACAGACCGTATCACACGCTGCAATCCAGGGAAATCCCCAGAGTCTCTAACTTAAAACAATAAAGAGCCCCAGCGGGTTACCTAAGATTCAAAGAGCGTAGAAGTGAAACTCCACCTCACAACAGGTGGACCGCCCGCGAACAATCCGAGGAGCTGGTTACACAAGGATAAAACCGCTCCGGAGACGGGCGTCCGAAAAATGTTTCTTCCCATCCAGCAAATTTTCTCCAACAAGAGGAAAGAAAGAGGCAAACACCGATATAAAAACACAAGTAAGGAATTCAGAACACGCGACGCATAGGAAAGAAAAACGAAGGCATCATTCGAAACAAAATATGGCAAAGCCTCGCCCGAAGGCGGAATATATCAAGTGCCTCAAAAGAAGAAGGCAAGGTTATAGCAACAGCAGGGAACACTTAGTTAAATTTCAGTAAATCTAGGAAGAGCCTCCTTCGGTGGGGGGAGGCTGGTTCACTTCCTCCCCAGCAGTAGTTGCAGCGGCCGCGGACTGAGGTTCCACTTTGGAGTTGACATCATGGTCACCCTAGAATTCCACTGCGTCCCAAACCACATTCCGGTCCCAAACCACGTAGGGGTGCTCGCGGCGGAACAGATGGCGGATGGAAGCTACCGTGTCGCGCAATAGCTTCTGGTACTTGGCCTCATCCACCGCCTTAAACTCGTCCGAGTCAAAGAAGGTCGCGCGAGCGTCCTCCCTAGCCTCGGCGAGTTCGCGTTCCCGCCGCGCCTCCAGACCGACCACCTTGGCCTCCAACTCTCCCACCTTGTCTCTTAGCTCCCTCTCTCGATCAGACGCCTCCCGCACCTTCTGCTGAGCCGCCTCCAGCTCTTTGGTCGACTTCGCTAGACCTTCCTTAGCGGATTGCAGCTCGGCATCCTTTGCGTTCAGGACCGCCTCGTGCTCCTTAATGACCTCGGCTCGCAACTCCTGGCGGAAACCCTCGCGCCCCTCCTTCATCTGCTCCTCAAGCTTGAGGATCTTGGTCTCGCGGTCGCCCAGGTCATCAAGCAGGTGCTCGTTAGCCAGGATAAGTTGACTTATCCCGAAATGAGCCTACATTCACAAGGACAGTCAGCACTGCGCGTTTATCGAACAACATGATCGAAAATCAGTTAAGTCACTCACCGCGAAGAAGCACCGGGCTGTCGTCCCAGCCAGGTGGCGAGTATCAGAAGTTGTGGGGATGGCACCTGTGACGCGCATACACCGCGCTGAAGGGCGCGACGAGCCGGCTCAGCGGAGGAAGTCACGTGCGGCGAATACACCGCGCTGGAGGAAAGCGTGGTTGTCTTCTGCTTCTTGTTGGAGGCCGGCGGCTCAGAACGCTGGTCAACCAAGATACCTTTGAGCTTGGGCTGACCACCCGAGGGCGTCTCGTCCCGCACCTCCACCACGTCCAGCGGCCGTTTGGAAGCGGTCCGAGTCGTGGCCTGACCGCTGGGGACGGTCAGTTTCAGAGTCCCCGAGCGCCCCAGCGCCAGCTGAGATTGAGTGGAGCCGCCTCCGGCTCTCGGGCCCTCCGAACCGGTGGGACCAGAAATGCCAGCCGCCGGAGACCCGCTCGCTGCCGACTTAGGCGGTCTCGCCGACGATGCGTAGCGCCGGATACCTGCAAAGCGAATACATAAGTAAAAAATATGAGAAAGCTATGTCCCATCAAGGTCTAGAAGAACTAACTAACCGTGAAAGCGCTGCACAATCTCAAGGGCATTATCATGCCCATGCGGGGGAAGCCGAAACTGAACGGTAGAAATGATGCGGTCGAGATGCGGTCTCAGATGCTGCAGCCGCTTCACCCCCTCATCCCACTCATCCGTCTGCCCGAAGGAAAACGCAGTCAATGGCTCCGCGTCCCCCGAGTACCATTTCCCGACGGGGCGAGCAAAAAAGTACTCGCTATACCAGGGAGAATCCAACTTCGGAGACCCATAGACGAACCCGACATTTTTTGACCGCCTGCGGGGTGACCAACAGTTCTTTGAACTAGTCATGGCATACAGCAGCCGGAAAGCGTCGACTGACGGTTCCTCTTTCAGGAGGGCACAAGCCGCACGGTAGCAGATGGAGTGGAATACTATGGAAGGAGAAAGGCGGCTGAGTGAACAGTTGAGACGCAACAATATCCCAGTGATAATTGGATCAAGCGGGAACTCTAGCCCTAGCCGCACATGTTCAGTGAAAATGGTAATCCACCCAACGGGACAAGAACCGCAGCGTCCATCAAGGGATGGAGCCGCATACTCCCAATCCGTGGGAAGCTGGTGCCGGTGAAGCTGGCGGAGTACTTGGGCGGGGGAATAAGCAGGCTTATACTTGGGCCCGTACGAGTAGACCGCATCGGGAACTTCTCGCCCCTCCCACATATCCGCATGCAGACGCACGCGGTACTCGCTATCCGCAACCGCCTGGAACAGATAAATCGTCGGTGTTTCCGACAAAGCCAGTGAAGGGGAGTCCACGACAGAGTCTTCCCCGGCCGAGTCGCGGGGCGTGTCTTCTGGCGCGCTTTCAGAGGATAGCTCCACCAGATTATCCCCAACCCGGGAGGTCGCTCCGCGCTCAATCAGGGACGTAGCCGTGTCAGTAAGCGCGCCCACCCCTAACCCTAAAATGCAACCGTCAGGTCTATCTACACGCTCACCCACGGAAACCGCATTGCCACCCCCACACAGCAATTCAATACCCTCCGAGTCCCATTCTATGTCGGATAAACTTAAAGGGTTGGAAAAAGCGGGCATACCTGCTCCAGCGACAGGACCGCCCGCACTGACGGTCTTGGCGGAAGTATGCGCGGCGTTAGCAGAGACGCGCGGAGCGGCGACAGTTCCGGCTGCGGTGGCCGGCGCCGTGTCAGATGCGGTGGTCGTCGCGGCGGCAGAAGGAGTGTTGGTGGCAACGTCAGAGGCAGACGGCGGCGCCGATCCGCCGGAAAGGCCGCGATTCTGACTATCGGACGGAGTGGTCGACTGAGAAACCATCGCAGACGATTGTTTTCTTTTCTTCTTGTCTCGTTTTTGAGATTTCCTCAGCAACGAAAGGAATCGATGTCGCTCCGCCGGAATCGAAGTGTGGGTCTCCAAATAGCGAGACAGAGAAAACTTGGAACACCGCGCAATTTTGAAGTTTTGAACTAGGGGACGGAGAAAGAAGGAATGCGAAAGTTTCTCTCAACAGACACTCTCGAGGTATATATAGCGGCAAATGAGACCGATGTGACGGTTGAGTGTCCGAGGGGGAACTTTAGGCCGCAAAATTCAAAAACGGGCAGGTGAAAGGACGTCAGGCCTGCCCGGTGTCAGAGCACGGAAACCAACCCACAGCCACGTGTATAAAGTACTTCTATCAGGAAAACCCATCAGGCGGTTGGAGTGCTGCTTAGGCAGGACAACCCTAGGCCTCAGGCGGCCAGGGGCAGAAGGGCATAAGGAGGAGGAGCAAACCGCTCAACTAGCTAACAGTAGTGGTAGTAGCCGCCAAAACCCTAGGCTTTTCCCGCCTAAGGGGCAATTGTTGGGCCGCATAGTTGAGCGGATTTGGACCTCAGGCCCAAAAGGGGAGAATCGACATTTTAAGGCCCAATAAGGAGGGCGGGCCCGATCCTTAGGTCGAGTCAGCAGGCGGTTCGTGACCGGCTGCAAACCCGAGGAATAGATAAGGACGCCTGACATAAAGCAACTGAGCGGCGCAGAGGGGCAGAGAGCCGTTGAAGATGCGTATCTGGTGTCAGACATGACTAAGCATTTATTGCCGGCCGCAGGCGGCCTGCAGAAATGCTGAAAGCCTGTCAGGACGCCTGACACGACCTAAAAAGCCTGCGTGGGATGCCCGACCAGGTCTGGGGCGCCCGACACAGCATTTAATGCTCCAACCACCCTCATACCAGGTATAAATATAGGGTGAGTACATTAATGGTGAGCCAACTACTATTCATCTCTCTACATAAATTCTCATCTTCTCACTTCTCTCTCTAACTTAAGCTTCGGAGAGTGTCCCGGGCGAACCGCCCCGGACCGCTGTTTTGCAGAGTCTCTGGAGTGCACCCCGACATCCGAGACCAGGCGCCTCGCCCTAGCTCCACAAACCGCCTAGTATCTACTAGGCACAAACAGAGTGAAACAGTAAAGAGAATCTTTTGGCAAAAAGCGTAGCTGGCTTTTATCTATAAAAGAATATAGAGTAGGGGTGAACAAAAATACCTACAAACAAATCATTTCATTCAACCAGATCCAACTCACTCGTATTAATCGTTAATATTAGCTATTATGGTTAAAACCTTATTTTGGCCCAAAGTATTATCATATAATCAACTTTGGCCCGTGGTTTCAGAAATTATTATCATGACCTCAACTATGCAGCATATAGACTCAATTGGCCAAACATGTGGTTTGACCGTCAATTTGGACGACAAACACCGTTGACTAACGGTCAACGATCTAACTCACTGCCATGTCAAGCAAGTTTTCAAAAGTGGCTATATGAGTGTATTTTTCAAAAAGTGGCTATAATTGTCACAACGCGAATAGTTATGGCTATGAAATTGTATTTTGCCATAATTTTATAACTACTTTCTTAGTTAAGATACTAAAGTTTTGAAATTTTGTAACTACTTTCTATTACTAACAAAATTAATAACTTGAAAGTTATCATTTGGCTAACATTTGATGTTTTAACAGGTTTAGCTAATATTTAAAAATGCGAGAAAGATTTGGCTAATAATTAGTATTTATCTTTACTTTTAATTTAAATTTAATGGTGGGAAGTAATAATACCTGACCTGCGGTGCATTCAGTCCACTTTGGTCGGTCCCAATGTCAATTCGATTCATTTTCCAAAATTTACTACTATTTATAAAATTTATGAAATCAAGAATCAAACCATTTTATATTTGGTTTAGTGTGATCTGTACCAAACATTGATTTGGTCTGATACGAATCAACCTATTACACACCCCTACAAATATGTAATATTATAAAATCATAAAATTTT